CAGAGAGAGACTGAGGGGTGTAGAAAGAAAAGGAGAGCCCTAGCCAGTGTGGCTGGAGCATTGTCCAGTGCACTGAAGGGTCACAGGTTCAATTCTGATCAGGGCACATATCCAGGTTGCAGGTTCAATGCCCGGTTGGGGTGCATATGGGAGGCAACTGGTCAGTGTTTCTCCCTCACCCTCTCCCTTCCTCTCTCTCTAAAATTTAAAGAGAGAGAGAGAGGAGAGAGAGAAAAGCAGCTATAGCCATGGGTTAGGACTCACAGAATTTTAGCCTCTGTGTGGTGGAGCCATGATAAGCCTGTGTCTTATTGGGAGTACCTGCCAGCATACTGGGCACATAACTAGGAACTCACTGTATGTTTGCTGAGGTGGTGAGAACAGCTTTCAAGAGCTGTAAGGCCTCATGGGATGCGCCACCCCATACCTGTGTGGATGAACTGTCTACAAGGGCACTAAGCTTAGGAACAGGAAAAACAAAAGCCTGCCAGTGCTTGCCCCAGTGGTCTCTCATAAATGCATTATTGCTTTGTACTGAAAGCTAACAGGACAAATTAAATGAAGATCTAGGTAGCTGTAAAAATGAGGGGGTAGGAGTTGGGAGAGGGGAGGATGGATTGAAGGACTGAAGCAGAGAACTGACAAATGGAACTGAAGGCTAGAGGTATGCGAACTAAATCAGAATGACTGGAATAGATTAGAGACACTCGGCAGAATTAAATCAAGATTAGAGCACTACTGCAAAAGAGGAAAGGGGATTGGATAGAAACCTAAGAAAACTCAGTCTTCTAGAAAGCTGCTAAAACAATTCCCATTAGAGAAATAACGCCAAAACCCTCCCTGCTACCTGGCCCGCTGGGTACACCCGGAAGAGGAACAGGGAAAGCACGGAGGGTCTGTCTCCCTCACCAAGCATGCTGCCGAGCTTGCTGATCTTCTCTAGGGCAGCGGGGACTTCGGCCTCCTCCTGCACCAGGGCCTCTATTTCACCCACGGCGTAGCCAAAGTCGGCTGTGTCCAGGTCCACCCTGAGTGGAGGCTCCTCTTGATCAGCTCTGGAAAGCACCAGTTTCCAGGCACTTCGATTAGTCACAAAACTAGCTACTTCCTGCAGTCCCAGTGGGCCCAGCACAGCAGCCACACCCTCAGCCCCGGGGACTTCAGCCCCCAGCACCTTATAGAGCCGGGCCACAATCGCAGGCTCAGCTGTGAGTTCCATGTACTCAGTGTGGGGTCCAGAGACACCTGCTGTTCCGGGACATTTGAGCTCCCAACCACTATTTTCTCGCTGTCGCAGCCAATAGTCAGTCCGCATGAGGTTCAGCTCAGGGGTGTCATAGTAGGTGTCTCGGAAGGTGACCCGGTGCTCCAGGGTGCCCCCCAACTCCTGCAGCCGTTCTTCTGTTTCCGGCCCAGGAACGAACTTTCGCTCCACCTCAATCAATCCCTGGGCCATACTACCTGCAATCAGTCAATCAAAAATCATTTGCTGACCTCCCAAGGGTGCTCAGCCTTGCAGCGTGACAGCTCAGCAAAGACGCGCCCCCCCCCCCCCCTTGGAAGAACTTATGAGACACAAACACTGTCCCAGAACCGGCTGGTGCTGCAGCCCTTTCTCCCCGCCCCCCGCCTGCCTGATGTTTTAAGACTGTGACAGTGACAGGTCTCCAGTAAGATCCCTTGCACCGCTGAAGATGTCCTCAATCCAAGGGGCTCCCTCGGAAGCAGGCCGCATGGCCGGTGTCCGCTCAGCGCTCCCCACACACCTCGTTACCCTGCAGGCCGGGGGCTCACTGCCCGGGCGACCCGCCGACCAGCCCTCCCCAACCACAGCGCGGTCCAGAGGAGCCTCGGGTGCCGCCTCGAAGCCCGAAGGTCTCCCTCTCGCGGGACCTGGAGGTGGCGACGAGAGCCCACGCCACGCCGCGAGGGACGCCGGGAACAGTCCCTGGCCCTCGACCTCGGCCCGGCTCTGCACACCCGACCAGTCCCAGCGCGAGCGGCCATGTTAGGCCGACGTAGTAGTGCCGCGGCCCGAGAGGCCTGCTAGGGTTTAAAGGGCCGGGACCTCCGTGAGAAGGGGACGGGCCGGCTCCCTGTGCTCTGCTCTTCACCCCGACCTTTCCCGGATCCCGGGGCCCCGGTCCGCGCTTCAGGAGCCTGGCATCCTGGGGCCGGGATGCATGATGGGAGATGTAGTTCCAAACGGAGACTCCCCCCCCCTTCCCTCTCCCCCCCCTTCCACCATCACCATCGCTACGGTGGCTGCGAATAGTGCCAAGGAGACTATCTAAAGTTGAGCTGGGGCGGTGGGGAGAGTAGGGTGGGAGGGGCTGAGGCCGCAGTCTGGTCTCCAAACCCCTCCCCCCATAAGCTGATGGGCCTGGAATACAAGCCACTCATCGGGACACTGTCTGGCAGATATGTTCTTGACTATTAGGGGGGCACTAAATGCCGGCCACTGGCAATGGGCTGATAAAAGCATAACTAAGAACCCTAGCTGTTTTGGCTCAGTGGCTAGAGCATCAGCCTGTGGACGGAAGGGTCCTGGGTTCGATTCTGGTCAAGGGCACATGCCTGGGTGTTGGGCTCAGGGTGTGTGGATTCTCACTAATCATTGATGTTTCCGTCTCTCCCCCTCTCCCTTCCTCTCTGAAATAAAAATTTATTTATTTATTTATTTATTTATTTATTTAAAAGCGAAACTAAGACAAGCTTAGCTATTCTGGGGTTTTTTCATGCCTCGGCATGAATGTCCAGGGTAAGGGTGAGTGGGAAACTTTGTCTGAGGAGGAAGTGATATTTTGGATGGGAATTAAAGATGTGATGGGATTTCAACAGTTGGAGACTCGGATGGAGACAGGAACAGCCTGAGCAAAAGACCCCAAAGCTGGAAAGCGCCTGACCAGTGTGGAAGGAGATGAAGTTAGAAGTTGTGGAGCAGGTTGGCAAAGGCCTTGAGTGCCAGGCTGAGGAGTATGTCACGGAGCGTCCAGTGGACACCGAGCAGGTTTTGTCAGGAGTGGGAGACTACTCATGGCCATTTAAAATACAGGAAGACACAGGGGTGGCCCTTTGACTGCTCTGGGAAATAAAACCAAGACCCTCCTGCCCCCTCGTCCCTCTGAGGACTGTGGTTCCCTGGAGGAGCCACTGCATGCCGCCCCTCTGGACGTGGTGGCTTGTGAGGAACAGTGGCTCTTACCAACTCCTGGTGCCCTCCTATGGTTGGCGAGAAGTGCTAGGCTCTCGGCACGGTCCTCTCCCAGCATGAACCGTGGTGAGTGCGGGGAGGACGCTGGGTTACAAACGTGGTGCGTTGGTCTGGGATGTCTTGGATGCACCCACCCCCCAGCCCACCTGCCATGACAAGTACCAGTGGGCAGGGAGGGGGCACCCCAGCCACTAACTCCTCTCACTGGCCTGCTTTTCATCTGTCCTTTGCTTTTCAGTTTTGTTGTCGAGGGGAAGAAGATCTAATCTCTTCCCTGAATTACAAAACCCAATCCCAGTGGCCAGAGGCAGCTTAACGGACAGGAAAGACCAGATTTGGGAGCCAGACAGACCTGGGGTAAACCCCCAGCTCACTTTTTTTCTTTTTTGTTAACTCTCACTCAAGGAGATTCTTTCCATTGATTTTTAGGGAGGATGGAAGGGAGGGGAAGGGGAGAGGGAAGAGAGAAAGAGGGAGGGAGGGGGAGAGAGAGAGAGAGAGAGAGAGAGAGAGAGAGAGAGAGTGAGTCAAATCAAATTGATTGGTTGCCTTCTGCACTGCCCCCGACTGCCCCTGACCATCCTACCGGGCCCTCCACCAGGAATCAAACCCACAACTCTTTGGTGGTCAGGCAGACACTCTGACCATTGGGCAGCACCGGCCAGGGCGCCAGCTTCCATTTGGAGGCGTTTGGCTTTGGGCAGCTGCTCTGCCTCACCAAACCTGTTTCTCGCTGGCGAAATGCGGACTGCCTCACAGTTACGTGTGAGGATTCACTGACAGGGTCGCATACCTGAGATTCCGAACGTCAGCTTCTCCTATGAACTCCAGGGTTCTTCTTTTCTTTTTAAAGAGTAGACTATAGCAGCTACGCGGGCCTGGAGCCAGGCCGCCTGTCACTTCTTGACCCGCCATGTGACCTGGGGCCGGCTAATTAACTTGGTGCCGTGGTTTCCTCAACTGTACAACGGGGACTAGCTGTGAGGGTTAAACACGTTAATATAGCTAAAGGTGCTTGGAACTGTCCCTGGCACTCCATAAATCTTAGCAAGCATTGTTATTATAATATAGGAGAGCTTATGAGCCTCCCGCCCCCCAACTCTGGGGACTCTGTGATGTGTGTGTGTGTGTGTGTGTGTGTGTGTGTGTGTGTGTGTGAGTGAGAGAGAGAGAGAGAGAGAGAGAGAGGGAGAGAGAGAGAGAGAGAGGTGGGGGGCGGAGAGAGCTCTCAGACCTCAGAGTAATTGCTGTGGAAGAGAATGTTCTGGTATCCAGTGGGAAGGGAGGGGCTCATAAGGCAGGAAGAAGGAATGGAAAAGAGAGGCCTCAGGCGGTTCTGGGAAGCCGGTAGAAGCCAGGGCTTGCTCTAGAGACGATTTAAAACAAAACAAAACACACATATGGTTTCGTAACCCGAAAGAAGAAGAGAAGATGAAAAGAGTTTAAAGGAGCCTGTCCTCTTTGCAGGCTCGGACCTGGCGCCGGAGTCCAGCAGGTGGCCAGGCCCACTGGCCGGCCTTGCCTTGGGGCCTGGGCCCCTCCCACGGCTCAGCGAGGCGGACGGATTCCGCTCGGGCTAGCGGGCGGGCGGACTACAACTCCCGGCATGCACCTCGGCGGGCGGACCGCTGCACCTGCTCAGTGGGGTCGCCCTGGGAGCCTGGGTATTGATTATTCCATTGTGTGGGACGCCTCGGCTCCAGCCAGTGAATGAGGCGGAGGAGTGAGGGCGAAGAGGAGGAGGAGGTGGGCGAGGAGGAGGAGGAGGAGGCGGAGGAGGCAGGGAACGAGCGAGTGCCCTGGGTGAATCAATGGAAACCCCCTCACGAAGCCGGGAAAACACTTCAGCCGCAGCCAAATAGCATTGATTATTTTCCTTCACTTCCCTCACCGCCGTGAATATATTTATTTATTTTTTTCCATCTCCACCCCCGACGCCCCGGAGTGAGCGCTGGAGGGAGGGAGGAGGAGGGGGGAAAAAGGAATCAACACATCGGAGAAGTCCCTTCCAAGAGCCGCCCCCTCCCCTCCCCGCCTCGCGCTGCTCGGCGGCCGCGGTTCGACTCCCGTCCCTGCTTCCAGCTGAGGTGTAAGTGCATCGATTTCCGATGCTGCTGGGTTGGTTGTGTTTTGTTTTTTTTTTTCCTCTCTCCTCTCCCTGTCTTCTTCCCTTCCTTGCTCTTTGGAAGCCTGAGACGGAGGAGAGAGGAGGCGCTCGGACACTGCCGCTGGAGGGCACCGAGAGGGACTGGAAGGGGCTGGGGGAGGGGACACGGACGGACGGACAGACAGACCTAGAGCCTGAGCGGGGGAAAGGAGCAGGGTTGTGGGAGGGAGAGGCTTGCAAGCGGGGATGGGGGAAGAGAGAGATGCAGGGGTAGCGGGGAGACGGGGAAGGGAAAGGCGTAGAGGCTGAGGCTGGGCTGGGAGCCGGCGGGACAGACGGCGGGTAACGCGAGCCTGGACGGACCGCGCCGAGCAGTGTGGGGAGCGGGGATCCCCGGGGGAAGGGGCGGCCGGGTGAGTGCCAGGGCGCGGAGCTGTCAGCCCGGGGCGGCCTGGGTCCCGGCGCCCCCCGCCGGCGGCAGGATGGGGGAGAAAACGGGGCAGGCGGGCGGGCTGATGGATGGGCCAGCGCGCTGTGGGTGGGGGTGGGCGGGCGGCGGGCGTAGAGACCCTTAATCTTTGATCTTCGTTTTTTTTGCCTGAAGTTGAGTTGGTTTTTGTTGTTTTGTTTTGTTTTTTGGGAAGGTGCGAGGGGAGGGGAGGCCGCTGCTACATTCAAGGTGCAGCGCGCCTCTCCCGGCCCCCTGAGCCTCCATCCTCTCTGCCTGCCCCTCTCTGAGTGGCCCTGTCATTTTTGATCACTTGACCACGCGTTGTCTCGCTGTGCCTGTGGCACAGCTGGTCCCTGTCCATGTGTCCCTACCTCTGGGTTTTGCCATCCTTCCCCTCATTCATTCTCCCCATCCATCCATCCCTGGGTCTGTATGTCACTGTCTCCGCATGTGGTTTTTCCATCCAAGTGACCCCGTCCCTCCCTGTGTGTCCCCGTCACTGTGTGCCATGCCTGGGCTGCCTGACCGTTCTGCCCATTTAGGACTCCATGCCCTCTCCTTCAGGGTCCGTATGGATTTATTTCCCTGGCCTTTTCAGGCTACTTGAGAGTTTGCTTATCAGTCATGAGTGGTCTCTTCTGGTCAGGGGCCTAGAAGAGCAATGGATGGAGCAGACATGCCTCCCCTAAGGACTCCTTCCAGCGGCCTTTCAGCAGGGCCGGGACAGCCTCCATGTCCACCTTCACTGGGAAGCTTTGGAACTTGCTAGCCTTGACTCTTCCTTTGCCATGTGTCTGTCTCCCCCATCAGGACCTCACCTCTGGCCTGTCATCGGCCTCTCCAGGTGCTCCCCACCACAGACTTCTTCTTGCTGACTTGATTTTCCTCCGCACCCTCACTTTACCATTGTATGTTTTTTTCATTTCCCCATTTTGTTTCACCCCTTTTTTTCCTTCTCCGTCTCCCACAGTCTCTCTTGCCTATTCTCCACCTTTGTTCCCATAATCTGTGGTCTTTCTACCTTTTCTCCTTGGTTACTCTAAGTTCCTTTTATCCCTTATCCTCTCACCCAGCATTTTAATAACCCCAGCCACAAAAGGTACCAGAGAGTAAGGGTCTGGGAGGTTGGGAGTATGGTTTGTGAAGGCACATAAACAGGCCAAGAAATCAATTTAATGGGTTTCCAGGGGCATATAACCCCTTCACCAGTCCGGGTCATTATGTCCATTAACTGTCAAGTATGATTTTGGAAGGGGACATTCTCTAGGACTCTGAGCTCCACCCTGCTTGGTTGTCCCTTATCCTTCCATTTATTCTAGTGGCTTCTTCACTTTCCAGTCCGTCTTCGTTCTGTGGCCCTGCTATGATCATGTTTGGATTCAGCATGATTTCTTTTGGAGGCAATTTTCATTAGTGTGACAAAAGCTCTTATGCAGAGAGCCAGGTTCATTCGGCCTAAAGAATGGGAAAGGTGGATAAAGAACCTGGAAAGTTTGCCTTGTTTTAAGCCTATCATTGTTTTCCAGACATCAGGATCTTAGAAGGATAAAAGGAAAAGGTAGATATGGACAGAAGATGGAAGATTTCAGAGATGAATAGAGTTACAGAAAGGAAGGAGAGGCCGGCTGCAATAAATGCGTGGGGTAGAAAAATGCATGCCATGAGGGATGTGCAAAGGAAAAGAAGAAAATCCATGTGGAATGAGAGGCAGGGGAGGAACCAATGGGTGATTAATGAAAAACTAGGAGAATGAAATGAAAAATGATTTAATAGCAATACAGTTGGAAAGTGGGAGAGAAATGATAGAATATTCCTAGAGAGGAGGTCACCAGAAAAAGCAATATGAAATGAATACAATGGTAAAGTGGGGGAAGGGAGAAATTGGAGAATAAGATGAGTGTGGTACAAAGAAGGGGAATGGAAGGCAGAGGAGGAGTGCTGGAGCAGATCAGAGCTGTACAGAGCTTGGTAGGAGGAAAGAGGAAAGGGTGAGCTATCAAAGGAAACAAATGCTTCTGGTGTGAGAAAGACACAGCGTGACGGATGCAAGGAGCGCGCTGCAGGAGGGGTGATTTGGAAAAAAAGGGCAGAGTAGAAATACCACTGGGCGAAGCCCCAAAAGAGAGGGATGCCAAAGGAGAGGGGGAGAGGGGACACAGAGCGATCTGGTGAAGAGAAAGGGAAACGGAGCCTCACAAGCATTATTCCTTTGGCCGGATCATTCCGTACCCCACCAACGGCCTTTGCGTTTCATCCCCAAGTCAGGGGAACACAAGCAAAGAGATGAAAAAGTAGAATTCCTATTTACTTTAGCTGACAGGAACTTGAATCTTTCTAACCCCCTGAGAACCAAAGACCTCAAGCCTCTGATGTCATAAATTGCTGGTGTTGCCTTGACAACCTGACAGGGTTCCTCCCTCCATGATGTCAGAGCGGCTGGTGTTATCTGGAGGCACACAGAGGAACAACTTGCTGCTTTGCTGGGGGCTGACACTTACAGGGCCCGGGCCTGAGTCAAATCTGTAGGATTTCTGAGTCTGGTAGCGTGACCTTGCCCTCCCGGAGCTGTTCCTAGCTCAGAATGAGGTCCGGTTTGGGAGTGCTTGAGGTTCGCTGGGGCGACAGGGACATGGAAAATGGGATAGTAGGATTGAAAGGCAGGCAAGGAAGAAAACTGGAAATGGCAGTTACAGAATGTGAAAGCAGGGCTTTGTGAGCAGGAAGGAGACTTATGAAAAATATAAAATGCACCTCTGGGTTTAGGAATGAAGACAAGCTGAAATGCAGAGGAGCAGGGATCAGAGCTGTGTGAGAGTGTAAGCTGATGCAGGAACAGAGAAAAGGGAAGGGTTCTGAATTACCAGGAGGCACAGCATGGTGGAATTTGACTGTGGAGAAAGAGGGGAAAAATGGGACCCTGAGTTAGACAGACAAAGCTGTCTGGTGAGAGACCCCAGGTTAGTCCTGATGGCTATATGAGCAGAGGCTGCATCTGTCTAGTTTCTTACTGTTTTCCAGCACCTAGCATGGTGTCACCTGGAAGATGCTTAGTAAATGTCTGTTGATCAAATATAGAGTTAAAGGAAGAGGCTAAAGGAAAAAGTTGCTTGCCTTACTCTCAATCCACCCTTCAGGGCTAAGTCTGCATAAATGGGCATGTTGGGAAATCAGAAACTGGAGGAAAGGGCTGGGGGAGAGCTAACTGAGCAGCAGTGAGATCTGAGAGGGCAGACTGGGTTAGGAGCACAGTTGGAGGCAGCCAGAGTGGACTCTAGGGGCTGATGTGGGAGTCTTTATAGAAATAATGGGAAGAAACATGAATGAACAGTCTTAAGAGCCCAAGAGAAAGATGCAGCAGAAGGTAGAAAAAGAAGGTGGTTTCCAGAAAAGGTTGAGAGTTATTTCCAAAGACAGAGTCGGCAGATTTGAATTCAGAGTAGCATCCCCACCCCATCCATCCCCAATCATGGAACCACAATTGAATCAGTCATACCCATATTTATACATTGGTCACAAATAAAAAGTTCATAAATTAATACTAAGCCCATCCTAAACACCCTGTCCTAATGCAGGCAATTACAAGGAAGTCAGCATTGGCCAAGCGGGCCAAAAGGCAGAAAGAAGCACAGGCCTGGATGTAAGGAACCCTGTGAGGGATGGCCTTGACACTGCCTGCCTGTTGTTGAATGAGTTCAGAAGTATCTAGGAGAAGAGGGGGAGGCAAGAAATGTAGAACTCACCACAACTCAGTGAAATCTGAAGACAGCGGGGAAGTATAAGTAAACAGAAGCCACAGAGAAGACAGCTGCCCTGGATGGGGGATTATAACCTGTCCTGTTCCTCCGGTGATGAGTCAGAAAGACCCTGAATGGGTTGAGGACTCGAGGAAGAGCAGGAAGAGAGTGAGTGAGCTGGGGCAGCTAGAGAAAGGGCTGGTGGTTGGGGGCCTGAAGGGAGGACAGTGGCGGCTGGATGCACTGTCAGCGGCCGCCATGGACTTAGGCAACTCATATTTTGCAGCAGGCGACAGGCTGTCGACACTGCGGTCCTTTACCTCACCGTTAGAAACTCATTTCATTGATTTTTCCATCTTTCTTCTCTGGCTTCTCAGTCATCCCACCACTCACTTTCCCAGAGCCCCTTGTCTCTCTAGGGAAAGCCCCAGGGGACCACCTGCCCCCTCTTCCTCCACCCCAGGCTGGCCAGACAGGAGTAAAAGATTTAGAGGTGCCTCCTGGCACTCTGAGATAATCCCATTGGGTCTCAGTGTCCCCCTCATGTAGGAACTAGTCCAGAGCCAGGGCCTCCGTGTATGGTTGTTTAGGGTGTCCAATTAAAGGGTGACAGGGCAGAGGTCCACCTTCCCTCCTGTCACCAAGGTGTACCACTGGCATGCGATTTGGGCAGGAATATGGGATTATGCTTCCAGCCTAGAAATTATAGCAGGGCCACCCACTGGAATGGTCCTTATTAGCAGGGCATAAGTAGCAAGAGCTCTCTTCAGAGAGAAGAGGTCATAGGTTTGCAGCTT